GGTGTCCCTGCTACCAGTACCAGCAGGGGTACTTTACTTCAGAAGATGACGACTCTTTACTGAATAATAAATAAATAAATAAATATATTGTTAAGACCAGTGAATTCTCACCTCTTTTGTCTGTTTGTGTTGTAATTGAATGCACAGAGCTGGAAGCAGGGCTGGATCTGTATGAGGAGCTGGGAGAGACCTGCACTCCTGATGGGACACTTTTGTCCCAGCATCAGCCTGGTTTTCCAACTCGAGTTTCATCTGCTAGAACGGGCATATGCTGGTGAGACGTGAGGTGCAAAGGTTTGTCCATGAGCTCATTTGGATGCTGCCTGGAGGACTGCACCCTCTGGAAGAGTGATCCAAGTGGCAGCAGCTTGTGTAGAATCATTGCCCATGATTGGAGAAGATCACATCACATTGGAGAAGATCGTGGAGAACTGTCTCCCATGGGAGGGACTGTCACGACCCAGTGGGAAATTTCCTCACAGGTGTCTGTCCCTTTCTTCCACATTTCATAATTGTTTCTCTCCTGGTCCCCAACATTTCCCCGTCTTTTGTGCTAAGTAGACCTGTGAAAAGCTCTTCAACAAAAGTTTACGAACACAAAAAATTATGCAGGGTATGAATGTTACAATAGAAATGAAAGTAAAGAGGGAAACAACAAGGACAACTATGATTTTATTTGGCCAATTAGGGATGCTGGGAAAATGAAACCAGTCGAAGATGCTATTAAGGCCTTTATCTTGGGATATAGATACATCTTTCACTAACTTCTTCAGGGCGTCTATGCTTTTATGTACAGACTGCGCATGGTCACTAAAATTCATGCAGCATAGACCCTCGAAAGTCTATAGCCGCACGATTTTGCAGGCTTACTTCCTTCAGTTTTGGGGTGTCTGCCAATAGCCCCTCTATGGCTGTGGTGGTGGCATTAGCCTCCTTAGTTAGTCAGCAGCCTAGATGGGTTAAGAGGGACAGGGCATGCGCAGCACTGATTCTTGGGATTGGAAATGATGGCCAGAAATTTCTCATTCTGGACCAGATCTCTATTTTTGAATCACAGTCTACCGGGAATGGGAGTGGTGGTAAGGGTGTAAAGATTTTTTTCTGGTTGGTCTCTTTTTGATACCTTTACAGTCAAATCTTTGATTATTGGTTCTTTTCTTTCAGGAAATCTCCAGTCGGAATTTAGAGCGTGATTAGTTTTTGGGATCGAATCTTCTGCAGTTGGGTATTTAGGGCGCCGTGGGGGTCGAGGGCAATGGGACCGGGCACTGCAATAAGGTTTGGGACACAGTTGAGGTGAGGGAAGCAATGCCAACTTTATTAGGAGTGACAGCTACTTAAATAGGGTAGGTTCAGGGGATGGACTCAGGCTTAGGGAGGAGCAAGAGACAGGCAACTCAGGGAAAACAGGGATTGGATGTCCGGGGAAGGATGGGCGGCAACTCTGGGTATCCAGGGGAAAGGGCCAATGGGAGCTCTCTCTGCACTGCAGCAAACTGTGGCCAATCAGATGCAGAGGAGCAGGAAAGCAGGGGAGAACAAAGGAGTAAACAGGTTTTGGCGGGAAAACTGTGAGGGGAGAAGGGGACAATATGGGAGGGTATGATTTAAAAAACAACAAGCAGGGGTACATATAACATCATAACATTATAACAATAAACGGGATAACTGGGGTAAACTGTCCAGTCCAATGGGTGTCCTATCCGGTGTATAGTGTCCATCTCAGCAATATAGACTCTATTTAAGGATCATAAATCTTCCTCCAAGCCTGGAATCTTTCCCATTCTGAATTGTCCTCTCCAACATCTCCCCCTTCTTTGTTTACTGAGGCAGCAGCGATGTTCACCGTTACGGTGGAGATCAGCGACTTACGAAGGCAGACGATGAGGCAGGGTAAGAAAGTACACAAAGAAACGATAACAAACAGGGATAATACACACATAATAATAATTTTTCTTGACCAACTGGGTAGGGAAGGAAGTTTCAACCAATCGAAGAGGTCATCAAGGCCTTCACTTTTGTCTTGATGAATTTCCCTGACCAGATTTTTCAGCTGGCTAATGCTCTCGTGAATAGATTGAGAGTGGTCAGAGAAATTCATACAACACATTCCCTCAAACTCTTGGCACCCATTTCCAAGAGGAGGAAATCTATAGCTGCTCGGTTCTGAAGGCTGGCTTCTTTTAATTTCTGGGTGTCTGCCAGTAGACCCTCTATTGCCCTGGTGGTGGCGTTGGCTTCCTTGGTCAGCCAGCAACCAAGGTGCGTCAATAGGGAGAGGACATGGGCTGTGCCTATCCCAGGGATAGGGAAGGACGCCCAGAAATTTTTCATACGCGACCATATTTGGATGCTAGAATCGCAGTCTGCTGGGAAGGGAAGAGGAGGTGGCAGAGTAACGATTCCAGCACCCGAATGTGGTATTGCATAGATTACTGGAGGAGTGGCTTGAATTTGACTGGTCTGAGAGGTTACGGTTTTTGGTTCAGGGACAGGAGTCTGAGGTTTGGGCTTAGGTGGCTCTGGAGGGAGCCTCCAACCCTCAACTTTTCTGTGAAGGTTGGGGAACCACCCTCGCTTTACCAGGAGGGACCTTTTAACTTGATGTTTTAGGAAGACTGATTGGTCAATTAATTGAAACTTCGCCGGGTTATAAAGGGCTAATTTTCCTACTGTACAGGGACCCCCTTCTGGGTAGGCCCAAATTCCAGGCCAAGCCCGATCTCCACACAATAGGAAATATCCCTTCGGGAGGCGCATGTTCCTAGGAACATGCTCCATTGGTATGGTGGTGACTACTGAGCCATTGCACCACAGTGAAGTGGTCCCCCGGTAAAGCGGTTTGTTGGCTGTGACGTTGTGGGGGGTAAACAAAACCAGTTGGGTGTATCTGTGGAAAATAGCACATGCAACAGTGGGGAGAGAACCTAAAAGGTCAATTTCTTGGAAGGGAATGTCTGCAAACGTAAGGGCTGAGATGGCCTGGGCTAGGTTGGGGGAATTCAGAGATAGGGATCCTCGGCTTTGTGTCTGAGACACAAACGCGTCCCATTCTCCAGATGTTATCGGGATTCCCACCAGGCATGTCCAGAACGGGCTGCCTGCGCTAGCCAAGGCCAGGCACAAGGTATCCATACCCGTAGCCTTGGCTAGTGTTACCCATAGATTTTCACTTGGCTGACTCATCCACTCCCGCAGGGGTATTGTAGCGATGAAAGGGATGAATTTGGAGGTGATGACGAAGAGGATGAGTCGGGATGGTCGCATGGTTGTTCTGGTTCTGTTCACGTTTGGTGGACCTTTACTCTGCGAGCTGGGACCCACGTTGGTCCTTCTGAACCTGAAATACAGGCGTAGCCCTTCCCCCAGGTGATCAAGGGGAAAGGGCCCGTCCATCTTTCGGTTAGTGGGTCCCGGTACATAACTTTCGCTTTTAGTTGAGTTGACGGTGAGAAATCTGACTTAGAGTGACGATCTACAGGACTTCTGTTTAAGTGAGTTTCAGATTCCTCCATCATATTTAAAAAATTTAAAACATACATGACTTTGTCTAATTTCTCTTGGGGGGTCAGGCCAATACTCCCCCTCTTTTGTTTTTTAAGCAAATTTTTGATATTTTGGTGGGCACGCTCTACTATGCCTTGCCCTGTGGGATTATGAGGGACCTCGGTGGTATGGTGCACCCCCCATTGCTCAAAAAACTTTTTTGTGTCCACAGACACATAGGAGGGTCTGTTGTCTGTTTCTACCTGTTTGGGAACTCCCATCTTTGCGAATGCAGACAGAAAACGTCTCTTTACATCACGACTTTTTTCTCCAGAGTGTGTGGTGGCCACAGTCATTTTGGAAAATGTGTCAATAGACACATGAACATATTTTAGTTTTCCGAATTCAGTCACATGCGTGACATCTGATTGCCAAATTTCCAAGGCTGACAAACCTCTTGGATTAGTTCCTTCTGGAACGACTGGTGTGAGTATTTGGCAGTCAGAGCACGTTTTTAAAATTTCTTTGGCTTGGGACAATTTCAGACCAAATTGTTTTTGCAGCGATCGCGCATTCTGGTGGAAAAATTCATGCGAGAGTTTTGCCTGTTGATACAAATTAGGGGTGACAGCCATACCTGCCAGATGGTCAGCAATCTGGTTTCCCTCCGCCACAGGACCTGGCAGAGTAGTGTGTGACCTTGCGT